AGATTTTTTTGGCTGTTTAAAAATAGAAACACACCACAACTGTCCTCAGAGGCTGAAGATTTACAAACACTGAGGTTATTCAGGAGGCATGGTTGTACAGTGGCAAGAGCACTGGCTCTGGAGGACCCAAGTTCAAATCCTGCCTCTGACCTGTTTGACCTTGGGTAAGTTACTCAATTTCATCTACAGAATGAGGGGATTGGACTAGAGACCTCTGAGGTCACTTCAAGTTCTAGATCTAACACACAGACACACAGACACACACACCATACTATGAAGTAACTCCAAGAGTTTCAAACATGTTTGGATCAATGACCCCATCCCTGTGGGATCTACTTTAAGGTGAGAGCATTAATAAGTATCTAAATTTTACTGTGCTTGTTCAACTATCAGTCCTGTTATTTTGTCCTCATGCCCTGTAAAAGTTAGCTCACTGTCTTTTCTGCTCCACTCTTGTTAGCCCGTTGGTTCCAAATCCCCTTCTCTGTCTGAGAAGTAGAGGCTCTGGGAGTGAGCACTGCCCATCCAGGAGGAACAAGAGTTTGGGACACTCGGGCTGGAAACAGCAGGTATTGGAGCCTTCTTCCTCCTTCCTCCTCTGTGCTCTGCACTGAGCTAGAGTCGGCAAACTGGGTCAGAGGTGGCGGGGAGGGGCCTTGGAAGAATTCTTGGATGGGGCGTAGAGACCCAAGGTACAGAGCTCAGATAACTGGTTGATGCTGCTACAGTCAAAGATGAAAAGGGCCTCTTATATCCACAGAGACTCTCCCTTGGCATTTCCCATCTTTTAGCCTTTACCATCTGCTGACAGAGGAGTGGGAAGGAAAGCCGGCCCGCTACTATCTAGGCTTAGTAAATGAGCAAATTTCAAATTGCATGGCTTTGCTGAGCGGCTGGGTTGTTCTTGCTTTCTACGGGGATGCAAGGGAATGGAGTAAGTACTATTGTGAGTAAAGGGACTGTCTTACTCTGCTTGACTCTTAGTGTTTTGCAAGAAAAATACCATTATCTGAGAACCTGAAGGCTCACAGAAGAGGTCAGGAGAAGCCCAGGGAGCTACCTATCAAATAGGTGGCCCAACTTCCCTCACCCCTTGATTGGCCAAGGCAAGAAAGCCCCAGCACCCACCAATCTTACAGCCCCCAAGCCTTCAGATTTTATTTTTAATGACACATCAAATACACAGGTGACTATCCTCCCCTCCTTTTGGAACAGACTCCTGCCCCCTTTTTTGAGGGGGAGGGGACAGTCCAACAGCTTTGAAGGGTAGTGAAGAAGGCATGGAAGAGCAACTAGTAGGGAGTGTATTCTGTTCTTCATTCCCTCCGAGTTAGGTAGTCTCCCCATATGGTTCAGCCTGGCCCTCCAGTCTCCTTTGCTCAGTTAACTCACTTTCATCCCCCAACACCCAAGGTTCCACGTTGATGTAGAATGTTCCAGACAGAAAAGAACCTTATAGTTCATTCAGTCTAATCCCCTCATTTTACAGATGCAGACCTGAGTCTGATAGCGATTCTCTCTTGGTCATCCTCACTCAGATGAGGTATTCTCCAAGCTCTCAAGTATCCAGCAGGCCGGGAGAGAAGGAAGGAGAGTGGTGGAGGTGAAGGGTTGTTGCAGGAGCTGAGACACAGAACAGAGGTGATATATTGAAAAACTGAAGGTGGACAAGGAGTCCAAAGGAGGGAAGGCAGTATGGGAGCCTTTGAGCAGGAAAAGGAGAGCAGTCAGAATGGAGATAAAAACCACAAGGGACCTGACAGCAGTTAGGTGAGAGAGGGTGCTGAGGGGCTAGACAGAAACCTGGTTGATGAGAGATAGGGCTCTGTTCCATTTAGAGGAAAAGTGATGTTGGGGCAGGCACTGTGGGAACAGGCCAGGTTGGGCTTGGCAGGCTGGGGTCAAGATGAGGGATTTCGCCGTGGGTGCGCTGGTGCCGGGCCAGATGGGTCTTGCGGCTGAAGCTCTTGCCGCACTGCGAACAGGGGAAGGGGCGGGAGCCGGTGTGGACTGCCTGATGGCGTATCAGATTGGTCTTAGAACTGAAGCAGCGAGAGCAGACCGTACAGGCGTGTGGGCGGCTCCCAGTGTGTACTGCCTGGTGGCGGCCCAGGTGTGACTTGCGGCTAAAGCCCCGGCCACACTGGGCGCAGGCAAAGGGCCGAGCACCGCTGTGCACCTTGGTGTGGGCCGCAAGGTTGGGGCGGGAGCCGAAGCGACGGCCACACTGGGTACAGGCAAAGGGACGTTCGCCAGTGTGCACGCGTCGGTGCCTTGTCAGGTGCTGCCCGTGGGAGAAGCCGCGCCCGCAGTCTGGACAGCGGAAGGGTCGCTCGCCAGCGTGGGTCCGCTGGTGTGCCACCAGCCCTGGACGCTGGCTGAAGCTTTTCCCGCAGTGAGTGCAGGCAAAGGCTTTGATGGCTGCGTGGGCCGCCGCTGCCGCCCCGGGGGGGCGCCGCTCACCCTGGCCCCGCGCGCGCTCTGAGAACCCGAAGGGGCGGCTCCCTCGGTGCACCCGCTGGTGCGAGGCCAGGTTCTTCTTCCAGCCGAAGTCTTTTCCGCAGTCTGCACAGGGGAAGGCCTTGGGCCCTGGAGGGGCTGTGGACGCGTCCTGGCACAAGGGGTCAGTGCTCTGCGGCTGCGGAGGTGGAGGTGGGGCAGGGCCTGCTGCGTGCACCCGCCGGTGGCGCACCAGGTGCTGCTTGTGCGTGAAACTGCGGCCGCACTCGGTGCATTGGTAGGGTCGCTCACCCGTGTGGATGCGCTGGTGGCGGATCAGGTGCGTCTTCTTGCGGAAGCGTTTTTCACACTCGGCGCAGGGGAAGGGCCTCTCTCCAGTGTGCGTTTTCTGGTGGGAGCCCAGGTGGATCTTTTGGCTGAAGCGCTTCCCGCATTCCTCGCAGGGGTAGGGCCTCTCCCCGGTGTGCGTGCGGAGGTGGCGGGTCAGGTGAGCCTTCTTGCTAAAGCGCTTACCGCATTCCGGGCACGGAAAAGGGCGCTCGCCCCGGTGGCTGCGCAGGTGGGCCAGCAGGTGGGTGCGCTGGGAGAAGCTGCGGCCGCAGTCTGGGCAAGCACACGGGCCCTCGCCCCGGTGCAGCCTTTGGTGCAGCCGAAGGGTCAGCTGGTCCCGGAAGCGTCGTTCGCATTCCCCGCAGCCGTAGGGTTTCTCCAGGACCTGGGGCCAGGATGCCAGAGCCAGCCCACTCAGAGGCGCCGGGGCTCCAGGCTCCAGCTTACAGGCCGTGGCCACAGCCGCCAGAGGTCCCAGGTCGGCGGACAGGAAGGGGCCGCTGGGAAGTAACTGGGGAAGGTGCTGGGGCCATGCAACCTCCTCTTCCTCTCCCTGGTCCTCATCCTCCACCTTCACCTTTCGGATCATCCAGTCTTCTAGAAAATTAAGACAAGGAATGGTATTGAGACTTTCAGACAGACTTTTCTGTTTTGATGTTTTATTGACTTTTTTTTTTTACATTGCTATCATTTTCTAGCAGTCTCCCCCTCACCCCAACTTTCTTGTAACAAGAGAATTAACTAATTCATTGATGTTTGACACCCTGTACCTCATTCTGCATCTCCAGTCCACCAGCACTACTTTTGCCTCATTTGATCTTTACAGCAACCTTGTGAAGTAGGTGCTGTTATGATCTACATTTTAAAATAGAAGAAACTGAGACAGAGATTAAGTGACTTGCACAGGGTCACAAAGTAGTAATTGTCTGGTTTTCCTGACTCTTGCACTACCACTGTAGCCACTAGGCCACCTAGCTGCCTCAAAGTATCCTTATTGTTGGAGCAAGAGGAGTCAGTGCATAGATCTGAGTTCTGATGTCAGACAGATTTTTCTTTTGTTTTGCTTTTAAATGAATTTACATTTAATCACAACAAAATCTACGAACATTTGGAAAATAATACATGTGTGCAAGACATTATGTCCATAGAAGGTATGATTACTTATTTATTATATTGAGTCATTTAATGAGATTATATGTATATGTTTAGTATATGTCATATTCCTTCTCTCAATGTGTCTGTGGTCTTCTGGTTGGGCACCATTTGACTAGGTGATTTCTAAGGTCCTTTTCTGTGGTAAGAGCAGAATTTGCACTCAGGAAGACCTGGATTTCTAGGTGTTCTGATACTTACTAGCTGCATAAATGTAATAGACTTTTCCAAGCAGTTGTCTATATAATGTTCCTCTACTCCTTCACCACCCATTTCCCCTCAGTCACCCTGTTCTATCCTCCTCACCCTGTCTAATAAAACTATTCTCTACATGATCACCAATGACATCACTGACAAATCTAGAGTCCTTTTTTTAGTCTGCCTTCTCTTGACCTATCTGTAGCATCTGACATTGATGACCTCCCCTTCTTGGAACTCTTCTCCCTTGGCATCCCTGACACTAAATAATTGTGCTTCTGTCCACTCCCACATTTCCACCTGTTAGGTCCTGTCTTTACTCTAAACTCATCTTTACTGAAAAACCTGCTCTCCCCCTACTGACCTTCTATTTCTGTAAAAGGCATTACCTTTCTATCACTTATTCAGGCTTGAAACATGGGAGCCAAATTTGATTTTTCCCTGTTTCTTCATCTCCCCTTCACTAAGTCATGTTGATTTGGGGGGCAGCTAGGTGGTGAAGTAGAAAGAGCACTAGGTCTGAATTTAAAACTCAGCCTAAGACACTTATTAGCTCTGTGACCCTGGGCAAGCTACTAACCTCTGTTTGCCTCAGTTTCCTTAACTGTAAAATGGGGATAATAGCAGCACCTTTGTTCCAGGGTTGTTGTGAGGATCAAATGAGATAAAAATTGTAAAGTACTTGGTACTATTATTATTATTATTTTTCATTTGTAATGTATTATTGCCTGGCACACAGTAAGAGCTATAATAAATAATATTATTTCACCTTCTCCTTGTCCTTCCTGTTCCTACTGCTATCACCCTAGTCTAAGCCTAAACTTTTTATTGCTTGTCACCCTTTTCATCTCAGCCTTTCAGAACTTTAATCTTCATTCAAAGCTAAACTGAGGTGGTACCTGCTCCAGGAAGCCTTTTGTGACCCTTCCTGCTATTAGGGCTCTCTGTCTTTGTAAATACTCCTGGAGCTCTTTATCTGATCTCCTGGTATAAAAGTTTGCCAGCCTAGGAGGTAGGAAAGATCTAGGTTTGAAACCAGCCTCTGATGCTGAATGACCCAGGCAAGCTTAGCCACGTCAAGACTTTGTTTCATCATCTGGGTTGTTGTGAGGCTCAGATAGTGGACAAAGTGCTTTGCAAACCTTACAGCCAAATATGAACCCCAAGGATTATTTATTCCCTATCCTGTATTATACTTATCTAGATTAGACAGTTGCTGGCTTTTTGAGGGGAGTTGGAGAGGCTGTCTTTGTATTGCCATGCCTCAAGCAGTGCTTTGCACAGAGTAGGCACTTAGTAAAGGCAGTTAGATGTTGGAGTCTATACACAGCTGGGCCTGGAGTCAGTAACAACTGGGTTCAAATCTTCCCTGAGACACTTCCTGGCTGTGTGACCCTAGGCAAGTTAGTTAACATCTGCCTCAGTTTATCATTTGTAAAATGGGGATAATAAGAGCAACTATTTTGCATCGTGGTGAGGACCAAATGAGGTAACATTTGTAAAGTGCCAGGCACACAGTAGGATCGATATAAATGCTTATTCCCTTTCCTAGATAGTCACTGAATTGAATTCACTGTTGCACATATAGACTATCCATCCAGAAAAAAGCCACTGAGTTACTCTTCCTAAAATGCTATTTTTAATTATGTCACTTGTTTATTCAAAAACATTCAATGACTTCCTATTGCATTCAAAATAATCTCTTTCTGAAATCCCATCCTACATATTTTATGTGTCATTTAGCATGCTGTTGACTTGTATTAACTTTTTCTGTGTCTATATATCTTTTACTCAGACTGCATTTCAAGCTCCTGGAGGGCAAAGATGGTGTCTGCTGCTCCCCGTGCACCCCCCACATTACTTAGTGCAACACTTAGACTGGCCCTGTGTTCAGCAGATGTAGGTTTGTTAGATGAAAGAAGAGACACCAGGCAGACAGACATAAGGGTGCTGGCAGTAGGAAGGGAGAAAAGGGGATGGATGTCAATAAAGGGCCTGGTGAATGACTGGCCTTGAGGAATGAGAGTTAGGGGCCAAGCACAGCTACTACTGACTGTGTGTGTGTGTGTGTGTGTGTGTGTGTGTGTGTGTGTGTGTGTGTGTGTGTGTG